GAGGGGGAGAGAGGAGGGAGGGGGGTGTTTCGGGAGGGTTCTGACCTGGGATTCAGACATGCTGTCGCTGAGGGAGCCTGGGGGATGGGCTCAAGCCCACACTCTCTCCAGGGGCTCTTATCTTTAGGGAAAGGGGGGGCGGGACCTGCTGAAGTGGGATCACGTGACCACGGTAATTGAGGCCTTTGTGTCCCTCTGTTGCCTTGGTAACAGGAATATAAACCAAGATGCCGTCTGTAGGGGACTGGAACTGGGCGCCTCTGGAGAAAGGGGAGGACTGGGCTGGGAGAAGCGGAGGGGGTGCTGAGGGTTGGGCAGGCCGGGGTGGGGGCACGGGCCGGACAGGTGATCCTGTGGCCTGGGCTCTGGCTGCTCGCCCTCCCGGCAGGGCTGCCTGGGCCTGGCTCTAGGCAGAGGCTCTGACTTCAGCTCCTTTGGCTTTGGCTATGGAAGGGCCCTGTGGTCCTGCCTCGGACCAGGGGCCAGAGGCCTGTGAGCAGGGCCAGGAAGGTAGGGGATGTAGGGAAGCTAGAGGATCCCTTAGGGGTGGCCTTGGGGGCAGTCCTGGGAGCTAGGCGGCAGGCCCCACCTGGCCAGAGGGACTTGTAGGCGGGTTTGCGGGTGATTTTGGGGGGTTTCGTCAAGAAGCTCCATGTGGCCCTCGGTGCAGAGGGGACGCTGCAGGGCTCAGGCGCAGCCCTGACCGCTCTCCCGCTCCCTCGTGTCCCGCAGGCCCCCTGCGCTCCATGGTGGAGGACCTGCAGTCGGAGGAGTCCGACGAGGACGACTCTTCATCAGGCGAGGAGGCCGCCGGCAAGACAAGCGCAGGGAGGGATTCCAGGTGCCTGGGCCGCGGGGGAACCGGCGGGCCTGGCTGATGGGCAGGGCCTGGAGGAGGCGGGGCCAGGGCAGGGTGTCCCCGGGGTGAGGACAAAGGGGGCAGCTGAGCTTGCTGGAGGGCACTCTGCCCTGGGCCACGCTGTCTCTGCTGCTGGGCAGAGTGCAGGGGCCGTAGGCATCCTTCCTCCTGTCACTGGAAGGAGGGGCTGTCCGGCGGGGGGGCCACCACCGGAGAAGCGGGGGCAGCCAAGGGCTAGCCCTGATCTGAGGCGGAGGTGGGGTGTGGCTGGTTCCTCTCCTCTAGAGCCTGGGGACCTTTTTCCCCTTTCCCACGCGTGCGGCATGGGGTGAGGACAGACCCTGAGAACTGTCCAGTGGATACCCCAGACCCCTGGAACAAGCCCACTCGGGGAAGGTGTGCGTTCTCAGCCTCCAAATGGCAGCCTTGGCCCCAGGCCCGCAGAAAGGGTAGACCCCAGTCGGTGGCCGGTCAGGCCCAGATCCAGCCCCTTCTCCGTGGAAGCCAAGGCCCTTGGGCCTCAGCGGCTCCTTAAACCAGGCTGGTCACTGGGTCCGGTCTGCCAGCAGAGGCGTGCCCCGTCGGTGCTCGTGGGCAGTCTGTGTCGGGGTGGCTGGCGAGCCCTGCCGCCTTGAGGGTCTGGCTGTGGGCAGTCTGAGGCGGTGGCCCAGTGGGCTGGGGCGCGAGGAGAACCACCCAAGTCCCAGGAGTGGGTCCCCAATAGGTCCCCAGCCATCCCTGCTGGCACCATTCAGTGTGGACTCCGACTGGACGGGAGGAGCAGGGACCTAGGAGGGCTGACAGACACGGGTCCCGTTCTCCAGGGGGTCCCACGGTGGTGCAGGGACCAAACGTGCAGCAGCACTGTGAGTGTCCCCTGCTAGAGGCAGACGTGGTGGGCCAGGTGGGGTTCCCTGGGCACCAGGAGCGGCCTCACGTCCATGGTCAGGGCAGGGGCCACAAAGACCCTGACGCTGGTGCTGCTGCTGCTTGGGATGAGCTGGCCAAGCCCCATCTCATCCTGGTCTGCTCCCCAGGGGGCCCACAGTCTGCCACGGCCCCCGGCTACTGCCCGGTGGACCTGAGGAAGAGAAGGAAGCCAGGGGTGCGCAGGGCGATGAGGCCATGCCTGGGTCTGGCCACTGCGATAATGTCGCTTGGGTGACGAGGAGACGCTGCCTGCCTTTCTCCCTGGAGTGATTCGCAGCCGGGAAGTTGGAGGCCTGAGCTTAGGGCCTTAGGGGAGAGCAGGTGCCCCAGAGCCCAGTGCTCACTGTGGGCGAAGTTCACCAGGGAAACGGACGGCCTCGATCTCGGGGGGAGTAAGACAGATGCCCGAGACCCGGGCTCCTCACAGCTCCCTGGCGTTTCCCGGCACTGCCTTTGTGGTGGGGCTTTATGGTTTTAGGCAGAGGGGAAGGTGGCAGGCGGGATCTGCCACGTTGTAGATTTGGAGGAACCATTGTCAGGCTCCCCCTCGCTGGATGAAGCCCAAAATGTCCATGAGGGACTGGGGATCCCAGACAGAGCCTCTCCCAAGGGGGCCCCCAGGGGGGCAGGGCAGAGGGTGGGCCTGTTCCGCCCCCCAGAGGGCTGGAGAGGAATTTGCTTCCTCTATATCCCTCCCTCTCTTCTCCAAGAGATTCTGGAAAAATCGAAAGGACTGTATCAGCTCATGTGCACAGAGGGCGTGAGCGAAGCGTGAGTCTGAGGGGAGGCTGTCCAGCCTGAGCTAGCCGGGGATTTTGGATGTTGAGTAACCACGCTCACCCTTGCCTCCCCAACAGCAGTGACCATGCGTCACTGTGAGCCAGCCCCTGCCCCGCACGCTCCTCTCGGAGACGTATCTTATGGGCGAGGAAATGGAGGCGCAGGCCCCCAGGAGCTTCGAGGTTGAGCTGCCACCAGACACACCATGGCCAGCGCCCTGCCACCGGGGACTGCCCCTGCGGTCACTGAGGGAGCCTGCCGTCCAGCTGAGGTGGGACCCGCGCGTCCCCTCAGTGGACCTTGAAGGCGGCCCCACCTGTAGGACCACGTGAAAGGAGCCGAGCCCAGCCTCGGCGGACCGGCGGCGGGGCAGGAGCCCCAGGGTGCCCTGCCACTCTGGGGTCGCCCGCACGCCCGTTTCCTGTTTCGCGTGTCAGTGGCCACCCAGGGCTAAGTGGGCCCGGTCTCCCAAGCTCTGTTGGGCTCAGGCGTCGCTCACAGGGAGGGGCTGGCCGTTCGGCACGTGTGGTCAGGCTCGGGGCCCGGCGCAGCAGGGTGGCGAACGCCTGACAGGGCCGTGTCCCTCGTTCACCGTGTCCCTTGTTCTCCGTGTCCCTTGTCAGGCTGAGCTTCAGTGACAGCGACAGTGACAACAGTGCCGACTCCTGCCTGCCTAGCCGCGAGCCCCCGCCCCCCAAGAAGCCGCCCCCGCCCAGCAGCAAGGTGAGCCCAGCAGCTACAGCCTGTGGGAGGAGGTCTCCGTGGTGGGCAGGTCTCCGTCAGGCCCCCGAGGTCTGTCTGCTCCCCAGGATGGGCTTCCTTTGCCGTTGGGGGCCAGATGAGGGCTGTTGGAGAGCCTGCGGGGCGCTGGGGAGGGGCACAGGTAGGAGCTGAGCGCAGATCCCAACTCGCCCTGCAGGCATCAGGCCGGAGGAGCCCGGAGCCCTGCAGCAAGCCGGAGAAGGTCCTCAAGAGGGGCGCCTATGACAAGGTGGGGCTCAGGTGCGGTGGGCGGGACCCAGGGTTTCAGAACGGGACAGGCCAGCCCAGGTGTGCCGAGCCCTCCTCTGTCCTGGGCCACGGCCGAGGTGGGCAGGGCCGGACATTCAGATGGGCCGAGGCCTTCCACTCAGTGCCATGTGCTGCCCGCAGGCCTACACGGACGAACTCGTGGAGCTGCACCGGAGGCTGATGGCTCTGCGGGAACGCAACGTGCTGCAGCAGGTACCAGGAGGGCGGCTGCCCTGGCCCTTTGGTCCTGGCCGAGGACACGGATGATCTCAGATGGGTCCCTGGGGCAGGGCGTGCCCATGAGGCCTGCAGGCTGCCGGATCCCTTACTGTAGCCCCAAGGAGCTGCCTCCTCCTCCTCCTCCTCCTTGGGGGGCTGGTCAGGGGTGGGGCCACCCCAGCCCTAGCTCCTGTCCCCTGAAGCCATTCTGCCACCACATTCCAGATCGTGAACCTGATCGAGGAGACTGGTCACTTCAATGTCACCAACACCACCTTCGACTTCGACCTCTTCTCCCTGGATGAGACCACCGTGCGCAAGCTGCAGAGCTACCTGGAGGCCGTGGCCACATGACCCTGGGCCGGGTGCCCGGCCCCTGTCACCGGGGTCCCGGGAGGCCACCCCTGGGCCCCGCCTGCCTTCCTCTCTCTCGACTCGCCCGCCCGCAGCACTGCCTTAGTCACCGCCCTGTCCTTGGCCCACACGGCCAGCTGCACTTTCCTCGTTGGCTCCCTGGCCTGCCCTCCCCACCAGCTCACCGGGAGCCCTGGGGCCAAGGGGGGCTGGGCCGGCGCTGCTACTGCTGCTCCCCAACACTCAGGGGCCGTCACCTGGGCCCCCCTTGGAAAGCGGCTTGTGTCGAAGGCAGCGCAGGGTCTCATTTTCGTAGAGGAATGAGTATGCCCGGCGGTGGGAGCCTCGCTCCGTGGTGGGGCATGCGTCACGGTGTCACTACTCAGGCTCGTCTGAGCAGCCGGGGTACCGCCTCCAGCCCCCCAAACGGTTCAGACGCGCCTGCCGCACCCAGGACCTCAGGGGCCCGCTGCGCCAGGCGGGGCCCCGGCCCGTCCTCCATGTGAGCGGGGCGCAGCCCTCTGCTCTCACTGCCGGGCCCCATGCTGTCCAGTCCTCACGTGTGTGCGAGTGCGCGGAGGGTGCCAGAGCCGTGGCCGGGGCAGCGGTGCCCGTGGGGGGTGGGGGGCGAGTAGGGCGGGACTTTGAGGGTAAGATGTCTCCACTGGTCTTGTCGGGCCGGAGGCCGAGCCGGAGCGCCAGCTGGCCTCCTCCAGGTGCAGGGAGGACCCCCTCCCTCGGTGGTACGAGGACACCCGTCCTCCGGGGACTCGGAAGGCGCAGCCCGGGGCCTGTGAACACGACGACGGGGCAGTGAGCCCTCCCGCGCCCGGTCGCACTGGCGGCCGTCTCCAGGAGCCGCCCCCGGGCCCCAGCCGCTGCAGGCCGCCACTTGCGACGGGTCCCGGGGCTCAGCCGCTCTCTCTTTCATAGGATCCTCTTCCTCCCTTCTGTTGATCGAGTCTTCGAACGTTGAAAAAAAAAATGAGCTTTTGCCAAATAAGACGGGATAGCGTGTGGAGTCTTTCGAGGAGCGTCAGGACTCAGAGCCAGTCCCTCACGCCCAGCCCTGCCGGCGGCGGGCCCTCCAGGCACGGCTGTCCCTCTGGTTTGGGCCTGGCCCTCCCGTTTCTGCCATTCACAGCCCCCGAGCCCAGATGCTCCAAGGGCCGGGCCGGTTCCTCCCCACTCTGGCCCACCTGCAGTGGGTCTGCTGGGCGCTGGGGACCTGTTGGCTCAGCCTCTCTTTCCCCAGACCTCGACTCAAGGCTCCTGTGGGCCTCCACCCCTGACTTTTGCCCTGAACGAGATGTGGGAAAAAGGACGGGGGGCCCGGAGGTGGGCTCACTCTCTCCCTTCAACCCACTGTCAATCAGCCTCCCAGTCCCAGAGTTCCAGCATGGGGAGCACCACGCTCCCCTTCCCTGTGGTCCCCGACTCCTATGCCCCTGTTCTGATTCTGTCTGTCACGCCCTGGGGAGCCCTGTCTCCCAGGCGCCCCGAACTCCGGCCTTCCTGGGAGCACTCTCGGGGGAGGCCCGAGAGCCGTCAGCGGAAAGCACCATGACTCCTCGCCACCCACTCGGGTTCTCCTGGTCCCACTGCTTCGAGGTATCAGGAAGAGGTCAGGCCTGGGTGACAGGTGCTGTGCTGTCACCGTTCCCTTCCCCAGGCAGGCCAGCAATACTCCGAAATGGGCACCTTTCTTCTCTGGAAAATCTCCAAGACATTGGACGGAAGGAACTGGCCTGAGCAGGCTGCTCCAGCAGCGGCGGCTGCCCGGCCCTCTCTGTGCAGAGGCTGCCGGGGTCACAGGCAGGAGACCCTGCTCCAGGATGCTGGCCTTCCTCCTCCACCAGGACCTCCCGGAAGGGACCGCAGGCTCCACATGGCGACATGGGCGCCTGCCGCCTTGGAGCCAGGCCCTCCAGCCCGCTCATAATGGCAGCACTAAGCGGCTCTTCCTGCTGTTTCCAGGGCCTTAGGAAGCACCGACCATTTCTCAGTTACCTCCTCTGGCCAGAAGGCCTCCAGTGCTGTCCCCTGGAGCTGCTCTGGGCCAAGTGCTGGCCTGTGACCGCCTGATGGACGTGCCAGGCAGCCAGGGCCCCGACTGCAGCACCCCCAGCTGCTCCCCTCCCCCACCCCCAGCTGCCCGGCAGCTGGGCCCGCGAGGGCTCTGGGGACGCTTCCATAGGAAGGGGCCGGCACTTTGTGATTGCCGCGCGTTTAGCGGCAAGCCCCCTGCCCCAGTGCGAACCCCTGTGTCTTGCTATCTCCTGAACAAAATGTAAACCGACGCCTGAAAGCAAAAGGTATCGAATACCTTTCTTACCCATAAGGGTTTTTACAAAGAATGTGTCTCACTAGGAACTAGGACACACCGGCCCAAGACCAACTCCCGGGCAAAAGGAATAAGGAGAATCGTGTTTGTAATAAGTTACAGGATTGTTTCTGTCCTGGATTTTAAACTTTTTGTTAAATTGTGAAATTATGGAGGAATTTTATAGAAAAAAAGTGAAATAAAGTCAGATGGGAAAGCAGACCTGCGTGTAGGGCCTCGTGCGTCCGCTTGGCTCCTCCTGCTGTGGAGTTGGTGGGGGACACGAAGGACCGTGGCGCCCCTCGTTCCTGCTCCCTGTTTCAGTGCTTCCGGGTCAGGACCAGGCTTGGGGGGTGGAGCGGGGGAGGGCAGCAGGACTCGGGACGGAGTGTGAGCAAGGTTGGTGTCCTGCAAGAATAGAGATGATGCCACCAGAAATCCCAGAGGAGCAATGCGACGGAGGACTGTCTCAGGTCTTGCTTTTGATGGGATGTTCTTTCCTCGGAAGCTGACAGCAAGGTTTGGGTTGAAAGGCCTGGCTTCAGAAGACGGGCGGGTTGGTGGGTGGAGGAATGGATGGGTCGGTCGATGGGAGGATGGGAGGAGTGGGTGGGTGGCTGGATGATAGAAAGTGACATAGAAAAATGTGGGCAAAGACATCCTCTGCTGGAAGCTGGGGTGCCCATCTGCCAGTTCAGGTGTGTTTTGCTTTGGACTCGAGTGTGGTAGAGCTGAGCGAGCCCCAAGGGGACAAAGCTCCCTCAGGCCCCATCGAAGCAGCCCTTTCTACTCTGTGGGCTCTAGCTCATCCAGAAATTCTGTGGTCAACATGGAGGCCAATACCTCGGGGGACCGCTGGCCACGCCAGGGCACTCAGCGGTCCCTCCCTTCTAGTTGGTGGCCAGAAGTTCCATTTCCAGCATCAAGGCTGTGGCCCCTCCTGCCCGTATCTTTCCTATTGGAGAGAGATTCTACAGGCCTTTTGGGACAGTTTCTGATCTGACCTCCTGAAGTAGGAACAGAGCGAAAGAGGGTCTAGAAGGGACCTCGCGGTTCCCAGACTCCCACGATGCACTGGAAGGATCACTTGAGTGAAAAATACAGCGGGGCTTGCTGTAGGTGCTAAGAATTATCGACGCTTCACGAGCACTTGAAGTCGGTACTGCCATCAGAATCCCCATCGACATGGAGAAACCGCATCTTAAGAGTTGACCTGCCTATGATGGTACAGCTGGCAGGTGCATTTCTGAGACTCCAGCCCAGGTATGTGATGGTGTTGCTTTCGACGGCTCATGTTTGTTTGTATTTACCCACACGATCACCCCTCGTATCACTGCCATCTCTCGCCCTGTGGTTCCCTGTGTCATCGTGTCCCTCGAGCCCGAAGAATTCTCATTAGCATTTCATTTGCTACAGTAATGAATTCTCTCAGCTGCTACTCTTGCAGAAAAACTTCATCTTTGTAAGGATATTTTTGCTAGGTAGAGCGTTCTAGGCTGGCAGGTATTTACTTTCCAAACTTCATTGTCTTTTGGCTTCCATTGTTCCTGTTGAGAAGTCAGCTGTTAAGTCTCATTGTTGCCTCTTTGAGGATAATGTGTCTTTTTGTCTCCGGTGCTTTTCGTTTGTTTACAACACAAATTTGTTTTCATACAGTCCGGGGCTCAGAGGCCTGAAAAATCAGTTTCATGGAGTTAAAATCAAGGTGTTGTGATGCCTGCGTTTTTTCTGGAGGCTGAAAGGGAGATTTTCTTTCCTTGCCTTTCGGAGCTTCCAAAGGCTGCTGCAATCCTTGGCTTGTGGCCCCTTCCAACTTCAGATCTCTGTGACCTCTGCTCCTGTTTTTACTTCCTTCTGGTACTTTTAAGAGATTTTCTTTTTGTCTTTTGGTTGGAAACAGATTCATATGTTTTGGTGACTTCTTTCTTTTATCAGTATGGCACCTCTGTCCCTTTTAAATGTTTTCACCTAGAATTTTTTTTTCCAATCTTAAATTTTAGATTTCTATTTTGCTGATGCAGGCGGAAGTGTGAAGGTCCCCAGGGCATGCATGCTGCGAGCAGCGGCCCTCATCCTGCTTCTTTCTCTTCTCTAGCTTATTGTTACATGTCCTCTGAGAGCCCTGTGTGCACAAGCAAGACGTAGCTCCTTTCACAAACGGTAACGCTTTTTTTCTTAATACGTCTTAGAGTTCATTCTGAATTAGTGTATTGAGTAACTGCACCATAACTTACATAACTAGTCCTGCTGGACGACATTTAGACCATTTTCCCTCGTTCACTTCTGTGACTGCCCATAACTACACACGTGAACGTGTGCAACTGGATGGGTCTATAAGCAGTGGCTCCGGCAATGGAGTTGCCTGTTTTTTCTGCTGGGTTTCTTGGTGTTCGTGTGTTTGTGTTTGTATGCTTGTGTGTCTGTATTTCTATGAGCTCCTTATAGACTATGTAGCTCTTTGCAATGGATTATATTCCCCCAGTTTGCCTTTAATTTTTGTTTATGGCATTTCTCCCATACTGAGGTCTTAGATTTTTATTGACTAAGCATTTTTTAATGAAAAATTTTGAATTAAAAATTTTTTCAATCAAAAATTTTCAATTGTAGTTGACATTCAATATTATATATGAATTTCAGGTGCACAGCATAGCGATTAGACATTTAGGTAACTTATGAAGTGATCCCCATGAAAAGTCTAGTACCCACCTGACACTATATGTAGTTATTACAATATTATTGACTATATTCCCTGTGCTGTGCTTTATATCCTGTGACTATTTTGCAACTGCCAATTTGTACTTCTTAATCCCTTCACCTTTTTTACCCATCCTTCCAATTCCCTCCCATCTGGCAACGATCAGTTTCTATCTATGAGTTTGTTTCTGTTGTGTTTGTTCATTCGTTTGTTTGTTTTTTAGATTCTACATATAGGTGAGCCATATGGTCTTTCTCTCTCTGACTTATTTCACTTGGCATAAGACCCTGTAGGTCCATCCATGTTGTCACAAATGGTAAGATTCCATTCTTTTTTATGGCCGAGTAATATTCCATTGGATATCAGTACCACATCATCTCAATTTTTTGAGGAACCTCCAAACTTTTCCATAGTGGCTGCACCAATTTGCAATCCCACCAACAAAGAGGGTTCCCTTTCTCCACATCCTTGTCAGCACTTGTTATTCCTTGATTTATTGATGCTGGTTATTCAGACAGGTGGGAGGTGATATCTCATTGTGGTTTTAATTTGCATTTCTCCGATGATCATCGATCGAGCCCCTTTTCATACTGGTCATCTGTATGTCTTCTTTGGAGAAATGCCTGTTCAGGTCATCTGCCCATTTTTAAGTCAGATTGTCTTTTTGGTATTACGTTGTATTTCTTTCTATGTTTTGGATACTAACCCCTTATCAAATGTGTCACTGGTGGACGTCTTACCCCGTTCAGTCAGTTGTCTTTTTGTTTTGTTGATGGTTTCCTTGCTTCGTCGGATGTAGTCCCATTTATTTTTTTCTTTTGTTTTCCTTGCTCTAGGAGACATCTATATTAAGCTTTTCTTTAAATGGTTTTTGGGGTTTTAGTCCTTGTTTAGAATGATTTAAAAAAAAAAGAAAAAACAGTCCTCATGGTTTCTCCCCGGAATTTAATCATTTCTCCCCTTTTTCTCCCTCCCTCCCTCCATCCCTTCTTTCTTTCTCAGCTTTCAGTTTGTTCCATGTGGGGCTTATCTTGCTTTAAGTTAGGGCCACAACCCTATTTCCCCAATAGCAACACAGGCGATCCATCCCCATTTATTGAATAATCTCTTTCCTCTACGTATTTGAAACACCATCCTTATTGCATCATTCAGTTTCTGCATATATTTGCATTTTTTCCTGGTGTCTCTCTGTGTGTTTAATAATGCCCCATCACTGAGCTATTCATTACTGCTGCTCTATAATTTATTTGCTATCTGGTAGCGGGCGAGTCCTCCTTCCTTCTTTTTCTTTTTTTCTTTTTCTTTTTAGAATTTTCCCAGATATTCTTGCATGTCTGTTTTTCCATATAACCTAATCAGCATAATTTAAGATATTTTTATCTTACTGTTCTGAAGTTCATGTTTACATTCTATTTTTAATTCTAATTTTTGAAAAGATCCTCGCTGGCATTTGCTGGGCTCCTGGAGACTTCCCAGCCATTCTCTCTCCAGATTCTCCCTTTCCTCTTCTCTCCTCCTCCTGGACGTCCTATGATGTTAGCCAGACCCTCCAGGATTCACCTGTCAGGTCTCTAACCAGCTCCCATTATGCGTATGTTATACCTTTTGTAATTGTACCGCAGTTCTTGGATATTCTGATTCTATTCATTCATTCATTCATTCATTCTCTCTCTCTCTCTCTCTCTCTTTCTCTCTCTCTCTCTCTGTCTCTCTTTCTCTCTTTCTCTCTCTCTCTCTCTGTCTCTCTCTCTCTGTCTGTCTCTTTCTTTCTGTCTCTCTCTCTTTTTTCTCTGCTTTCCAGTTTGAGAAGTTTCCACTGACATGCCTCGAAGTGTCCTGATTGTTTCCAGCTGTGTCCAGTTTGCTGATGAGACCGTCAGTTTCTTATGTGCCAGTGCTCTTGATTTCTAGCATCTCCTTTTGATTCCTCGAGCTTCCATCTCCCTGCATACTCATCTGTGCTTGCACCTTGTCCAGTAGACCTCGTAGCATATTAATTATGATTGTTACAAGTGCACGACCTGATCATTACAAAAGCTCTGCCTTTTGGCATGTGTCGTAAGTTGTTGGAAGCTGGAGTGGCGCCCTGGGTACAAGGAACGGAGGTAAATAGGCCTTCAGGCTTGCGTTCCTCTGGCTAGGAGTTAGAGGTTTCACTGCATGTTGTAGCTGGGGGAGTCATAGGCTAAAATTTCTTCGGGTGTCCTTGTTTTCGCCTCCCCTGCCCTCACAGGTGTCCCCAGAGACTCCTTTTAGAATCAGGTCTGCGCCTCATAGTTCTTTCCATCCGAAATCCTGTTGTCACACGGGAGCCCCACTGACGTGATGGTGACATGTGGATGGGGGGAAGCGTTCTATGCTTGTGGCCTGTTAAGCTTGTGCCCTTGGATCGTGACCTTCACAGGTGCTTTCAGCTTTCTTTTTTTTTTCCCCCATCTTAGCTGAGAGGAAGGATAGGCAGGGCTGGGGTTAGGTATTTCCCTTCCCCCAGCTCAGGTAGGGTGAAACTGCCCTGGAGGGCAGGTCTTTGTCAAGGGGAGCAGAATGCAGAGACGTTTCACAGCAGAGGCTCCGCCTCCTGGCGGGGCTCCCAGAGGCAGAGCTCGGCCGGCCCTGCCCCCTCACACCCCCCACCAAGGCTGGGTCTTTAGTTTTATCTCCCCATCTCATCCACGCTTGGTCTCCTGCTGTTAGGCAAAGGCCCTTCCTACCATCGGATGCTGGCTCCGGTGGGCGTCCCTGCTCCACAGAAGCTTTGATTCTCCACATCTGCCTCGCCTGCTGCCGAGGAGGGGAAGAGTTGCTTAGACCTATCAGTGACCTCGATTCACTGATAAGTCTAAGAAGAGTCGTCGATTCGCAGTTTTTCAGGTCACGAGGACGGAAATGACAGCTTCCAAGCTCTTTTCCACTCAGGCTGCAAACCATCCGGCCAGCTCTCCACATTGGTTTCTCAGATGTGCCTTCCTGGTGTTTCTCCAAGGAAACAAGCTCTGTGTCCTTGGGAGTGAGGTCCGTATACAGCCTCCCTCCTGCCGCCAGCCGTCCCGATGCTTCACGGTTCTTGTTTGTGTGCCTGACCCTTGAGGGAGGGTCTCCTTGAGGATGTCCTGGGCCGTGACAGCCTCTTCAGGCCCCATCTGAGCCTTGCTTACAGCCATGCCCCCTGCCTGAGCCAAGGGGCCCACTGTCCACCACGGCCTTGGGGGCTGTTCTCACCTCCTCTCTGGATCGCGTGCAGCGTGCAGTTTAGGTCTCCCAGGCGGTTCTGTCCAGCCCATGTGTGACTCCCTGAACCCAGGTCCCTCAATATACAAACAAGAGCAGGTCTCAGCCCTTCCCTTCCTCGGGCGCGGGGTTGGGTCCTCAACCCTCAAGTTGCAGACTGGTTCTGGTCTGTGGCCTGTTGGGAACCGGGCCATACAGCAGGTGGTGAGTGGCAGGCCAGCGAGCGAAGCTCCATCTGCATTCGCAGCCGCTCCCCAGCGCCGACATCACTGCCTCAGCCCCATCTCAGATCGTCAGGCATTAGATTCTCATAGAAGCACCAGTCCCTGGTGCCACAAAGGTTGGGGACCGCTGCCTGGGTGCACCTCAGGGTGACTGTGGACAGCCGTCTCCCGAGAGGATTCCAAGCCTGTGCACCCACAGCCTCTCACTTAAAGAATGTGCATATTTCTCGGAGGAAAAGCAGCTCACGAATTTCACCCGTCACTTGGCGTCTCTCCCAGAGCCCTCAGCGTGGAGCTCGGCACCCACCCGCACTGTTGACACCACGGGGCCCCTCCTGGGCACTGTGGGGTATTGGGTAGCACCCACCACCCAGTCGTGACAGCCCCAGATGTCTCCAGACATCGCCAGTGTCCCGTGGGGGGCAGTTACCCCAGATAAGAACCACTGCTTTAGTGAAACCATTTTATTGATCTTTCACATTTAAATTTAAAATGCTTCCTAGGCCTCTCACTGGGAGCCATTTCCCTCCTCTAGAAAGCAGCTCCTGGGTAGGTGTCAAAGAGGACAGGCGAGGACAGGGGACTGCGGCGCGCCCCGAAGGAGGGAGCTCACGGGCTCTTTCCCACTGCTAGTAGTTGTCGTCCTTGTAAAAACTCTCAATTTCGGCTTGGTATATCTTGGCCACTATGGCCCTCTTCAGCTTCGTGGTCGCCCCTGCGACAGAGTCGACAAGCTAGGGCCTTCTCTCTCCCCCGCCAGGAGTCCCCAGCAGCGCTGACTGGACGCGGCGTCGGTGGCCGGGTTTGTTCAGAGACGCAGAGGGGTAAGTGGTGCCGGCGCAGGAGGCCCTGACTCAGGAGCCCGGAAAAGGGGTGCAGTGGGCCCGTCCCCAAGTGCCCTGTGAACGTCCGTGCCACACACGGACGGCGGCCGCGCCCGCGCGGGAGGCTCGTCAGAGGAGGGGCTGGTTACAGACGCGGACGCCAGGGAGCCCAGCCCCCCGCGGGAGCCCGACCCGGTCTCTGGGGCCAGGACCGCTTCCCCAGCCGCGCGCGCTCACCCAGCTCCCCGCCAGCCACGGAGAAGTCCGTCTCCAGGATGGCCCACTTCGCGATCCTGGCACTGTCCGAGGCGGCCTCTGCGTTGGCAGCGACGATCCCCTGCCCGATGAACTCCATGACCACTGGGTCTCCATCGTCAATGATGTCTGACAGCCTGGTGGACGGGCTTCTGAGCTGCCGGCAGAAGGCGATGGCCTCGCTGGTCAGCATGTCCCGAGGCTGTCCTGTGTCCGTGTTGACCTGACACTATCATTTAGGGATGAGGGGTCAGGCAGCCCTTGAACTGCCGCCACACCCGCTAGTGGCCCCCAAGCCCAGCTCCCAATACTGGGGATTTGTCCTTGAGGCTCACACATCACTGTCACCTCGACCCTGGGAGGTTAGGGTCCCCATCCCCACTGTCCAGAGGAAAAAACAAGGGCTCGGCTAGGAAGGACTTGCTCAGTGCTGCCTGGCCTCCTAGGGGTCAGAAGGGCCAGACTCGGGGCCATCTGCTGTCTCTCTGGGGTCACCAGGAGCCCCCCACAATAGGGAATGACTAGAATCCTGGGCTTGGTGCCCTGGGAGCTGGCACTGAGTGACTATTGCTCCTCTCCCAGACTCAGTTTCCCCATCTTGAAACAAGGATGGCAGCCCCCATCCAGCCGGCATCCCAGATTGCCACGTGGCTCAAGGACAGCCCCACGGTACCTTCAGCGTGAGCAGGGCACACAGATACGGGGCGTCCTGGCCCACCAGCACGGCGTAGTGGACGATGGGGACATACTTCTTCACCCGCTCCTCGATGGGGTTCGGGTTGATCCTCTCGCCTGAACTGAGGGTGATGACATCTGCATGTGGAACAGGGAGCTGTGTCGCGTCTCTGAGAAGCTGTCCCATCGGCTCTCGTGGCAGCCTCGGGCGGGCCCTCGGATACCGTCCCAAGGCAGAACGAGGGGGTGCCTGGAGCCCTCAGCTGCCCCTCGCTGCCCAGAGACACCCGATGCAGCCCAGGCAAAGGGCACCCCTTCCTCTGAGCTGGACCTCAGCCCTCCGTCCCCGCGCGGTGCCCAAGCTGCACGATGCCCACGGCAGCCGTGGGGGCCAGAGGCAGAGAGCAGCTCAAGGCCCGGCCCCGCTCACCCCTGACGCTGCCCACGACGTAGAGGAACTCTTCAGTGTCCAGGAAGCCCAGGTCCCCCGTGTGCATCCAGCCGTGGTAGTCCATCTTCTCCCGGGTGGTGGTCTCGTCGTTGAGGTACCCCATGAAGATGTTCCGGCCCCAGATGTGGATGTCCCCACTGTCCTGTTTCTGCACCCTGGTGTAGGTGCCAGGGAGAGGCTTCCCACAGCTGGGGACAGTGGACAGGGAGGGGCACTGGCCACTCGGCTGGACGACAGCCCCACTGCGGGGGGGGACACCCCGCTCACCGCCTCTCTGTCCCCACCACACAAGCGTTCAGATCTGTGTCTTCTCTTTCAGCTCCTAGGATCCCCTGCACCCAAAGTAGGGGGCAGATGGAGAAGGAAGCAGGGTGCGGACCCCCTGGGAGAGGGAGCCTGGCAACCTCAACTCAGAGCCAGGCTCGGGCACATGGACGCAGCACACTCAGCCCCCCTGGCCACCAGGAGGTCACAGACAAGCACAGGGACAAGGCGAGCCACAGATAAACTCAAGACACCTTTTGGGCGGAACCGATTGCTGCCGAAGGCATCTGGACAAGAGAGAACGAACACGCCGCAGGCAAGAGCGGGGGCCCTGCTTCTCGCCTGGAAACGGGGGGCTGGGCCTCGGCCCTCGGAGCTTCGGGTTCCAAGAAGGGCTCCCCAAGTCTGGAGACTCAGGGCGGGACTTTGGAGCTGGTCCCGCCATCACCCGGGACACACCCCACATGGGCTGGATTGAGTCACCCCAGATTTCCAGGTTGAAGTCCTAACCCTTAATGAGATGGTGTTTGGAAGTGGGTCGGTTCCGATGAAGTTCCTCAGGATGGTATTGGTGCCCTTGAAGAGACACCAGAGAGCTCGCTCTATTTCTTTGCGTGTGAGGGCACAGGGGGGAGCCGGCCACCTCTGAGCCAGGAAGGAGGCCTTCGCCCAGAACTGAGCGGCGGCGCCTGGGTCTCGGACGTCCAGCCCCTGGGACTGGGAGGTGAATTTCCGTGGTTCAGGCCCGTTCTGTGACGGCAGCCTGAGCTGAGCACCGCCCTCGGAGGGCAGGGACCAGGCCTGCCTAGAAGCGCACCCTCCAGCACAGCACAAACTCCACGTTCAAACTCAGATGCTCCCTGAACGAATGAGTGAACAGCCCAACAAATGGATGGAGAACTGCTCGAGAGGCTTCCTTATGCTCCTGTTCTGCCGGCTGAGTTCCCTTTGGCTAACCCCACGTATCCTCCATCGGTCTGTTCCAGGAGCACCGATCACACAGCAGGGAGTTTTGACCTTGGCTCCCTGCCGTGACCCCAGACAGCGATCACTCAACACCGACCAAAACGAGAACAGGCTCCCCAGCAGGCATTGTTGGTCTGCGGAGTGGAAACTGAATGCCAGCGCCCAGTGTGGCTGTAACTGTGGCCAGGTCACCTCTCCTTCCTTCAGCCCCCTTGCCTGCCCCTTTTCCGCCCCGTCTGTCCACATTTGGGGGTCAAGGAGAGGTGCTTCCACCTCCCCGAAGCTGAGTCACTTGGGACGGCCACCCAGACTGTCCTTGGCCAAACTCTGGTCGGACTCCTCCGAGCCGTCTTCTCAGTGAGGCCTCGGCCTTGGGCTAGGACCGCAGACTGTCAGTGCAAATGCTCTCGTCCCTAGCCACTGCCACCACCTCCCTGCCACCCGCCGCCCCCCAGAGAGCGCAGTACTGCCGGGAGGACTTGCTCTGTGTTCCAGCCCGAACCTGGGGTGCGCAGACACCCCGAGGCCCCAAGGGCAGTTATCTAAGAAAGTGTGCAATGATAAACCTTTCCCTGCTCTCTGAGATGCAAAGCTACCTCCCAGAACTGTCTCCTCGGGGGCCTGGGAGCTGTCACTCTGAAATGCCGAGGTCCGTGAAGGTCGCCGGCCCCTCCTCGGTCGCTGTGGGAGGAGGGGCCCACGGCAGCGGGCCTCACCCCGACCTGTGCCAGCCCCTCCTGTCCCAGGTGTAGCGCCCGTCTGCAAACCCGCACGGCCGAGTTACCTTAAGGAACCCGTCCCGGATTCTGCGCGTCCCCACCCCGTGGACTGCTGGAGCCCCCACTCCTCCCATGCCCTCGCCCGCCCGGGTCTCTGCCGGATGGAAGCCAAGTTCAGCTCGTGCTGGACCCCTCTCCCCGACGCAGTCGCCTTATGGATAAGATCTGTCCCTGTCACTCTACGAGGCCGGGGGAGAAAGCCAGCGCATCAAAGGGCTGTGACTTGCTCCGGGTCTCCTGTCCCATGCTGTTCCCCCAACACAGGCCAAATTCTCCGGGAAGCCGCTTGGGGCCCTGAACCCAACCAGTGGCCACGTAGCAGCCCCCAGGATGCCCCGGGGAGGCCCTGCTGGCCCAGCACCTCTAGACTCAGTTTCCCCATCTACCCACACGCCTGTCAGGTGTGGTGGACAGGGCGAGGGGCACGGAGGACAGAGCATGATGGGGGTGTCAGGTCCAGGACAAGACTCCTGGGTAAATCTGAATTACAAATTTTTTTTTTTTTTTTTAGTATAAGTATGTCCCAAGTACTACAAAGGATATATTTATACTAAGAAAAAACTGTCGTTTATCTGAAGTCCAAACTTCACCGGGAGTCTCATGTTTTTATTTGCTAAATCCGGCACCCCTAGGCCCAGAGGAGAGTGTGGCTTCTGCCTTCTTTCTCTTGGTGCTCTCATTTGA